AAGTAGACATTGTTTTTTCACTAGAAAAAATTATATACTGAATAGTGTTTATAATATTATGGCTTGATATAACGTGATTTATATAGGAATAAGCTGGGCATTTAATGCGGAAATGGAATTTGTATTCTAGATCATTTTCATCAACTTTTCATTACATCTTCTTGCTTCCCGTGGGATTCTACCACTATCATGTCTACTAGTTTCAATAAATATTGAATGGGATGACATTCTTGTTTGTTCGCATAATTTGAAATACTATTTGGATACGATTCATAACCAAAATTATCCTTGTAGTAGTTTAGTTTCTTAATTAAAGATTTCAGTGTGTGATATATTTACCCAGTAATCGATACATGGAAGGGTTTTCCGGGTTTGCACGGGTCATCTTACACTGTTATTCCTGGAAGTATTGTCGCTAACTTGTTGAAATATTGAAAATGTTTACTTCGTGAATCATCAGAATTACCTTTTTGCAGATCCTCTCAAAAGCATTGACGATCCTTCTTTGATCCAACCAGAAATCACAGTGGTTACAGCTTATTTCAACATTGGTTCCTTCGCCAAAGGAAGTAGTGCTAACATCTTTACACCGGGCAAATATATGCATTGGATGAAAGTGTTTGGCAACATAAAAAACAACCTTGTCGCATATACCGATTCGAAGGATGTGTACGATCTCTTCATTAACCTGAGACGCAGGTTTCCCAGCAATATGACGAAAGTGTTCCTGATAGACAGACACAACCTATGGTCCTTCTCTTTGGCTAAAGAGATCCGTAGTATCTACAAGCAGCCGAACTATCCAAGGCATCAACCGAACACCGTCAACGAGAACTACTCATGTGCAATGCATGCTAAGTTTGAATTGGTCAACAAAGTCTTAGCGGAGGAGCTGTTTCCAACAAAATATTTCTGCTGGCTAGATATTGGACTCTTCCGGGATCTTGCTGATGACAAGAAGACCTTCAAGCTCCAGATTCCCAAAGAATGGGATCAACGGAAGATAGCCTATAGTGCAGTATCCCGCTTAAACAAACAGACGACAATCGTAAATGTTATTAAAAACAATATGGTGTGGGTTGGAGGCGCAATGTTTTTAGGAACACCTGAAGTGCTTCATAACTACACGGAAGACTACATGAATATGGTCAAGATGCTGTTAAATCAACGCTTGATGAATACGGATCAGCAGGTTATATATTCCATGTACCTGACATCCTCACAGGTTAAACCCAGAGTTCAGATACAAACGTTCTCCTGCGAGCACAATCCTAATGATTATTGGTTCTACCTTGGGTACCTGTGCAGGGAGACATGGTTACAAACCCAAACTCCTGTGAATAAAACAGCATAATAAACGACATCCTTTAGCCATGGTTCTGTCACTTGGTCCCCTAAACACTTACTGATTACAAAGATCTACAGTTTAAACTATTTTGATTTTTTAGAAATTATTATCAAACCTATCCAAGGTATTGGTTCAGCCACATAGAGGCGCGAACAAGCTTCTTTGAGTGACAATTTAAAAGTTGGGAAGTAAACTATTGACAGACACAATGAATAACAACTTCTCTATTTCGTGAGTGCCACGTGTAGATTTTGTACCGTTCCTAAGCAGGAATGAATGTAACATAAGGGGGAGGGGACGTATATGCACTGAATGGAGACAAGAAAACAACATAATTAACATAACTGACTAAACAGGCTTTAGGACAAAATTGGAATTCTGACCTCACCCATTATCTTATGATGTACACCACACACAGAGAAGTGCCACCCTTGGGGGCGCGGTGGGAGAGCTCGCTAAGGCGCCAGGCTAGTGATCCAGTGAGCCTGAGGTGCCGGGATCGAGCTCACCTGTGACTGGGTGTAAACTTTGTGTGCAGACGCTTTCACTGTTGTCACAGCCCCTAGTGTACAGTACACAACCCTGTGCACTTAAAAAACCTACGAATATGTTGGTAAATGACCAAATGGTGGCCACATGAATACGTGCAAACACCTAGCTCCGGGTACAGCAATGTGCAGTAAACTTGGACTAAGTACTGTGACTTAACAGCTTAATATCAGCCACATAAAAGCTACCCTAAGAGGTTCAAGAGGCGGCAGAAACAGAAGTACAATTGGTTGTGTTACCCTAAATCAACATTGTGGTGAGTTTGTCAATGTTCCAAACAATATTGTGCCCCATAACTTCAAATTAACTTTTTTAATGCTCAACCTGTGAGGATCAAACCTCTCATTCTCAATGACTATATCCAGGACAACAACTCTGATGTCTTTGCTATCACAGAGACGTGGCTGACTGATAATGATATATCAGTTATAGAAGAATTAGTACCAGCGAACTATGACATACTGCAAGTAAACAGATCACACCGAAGAGGTGGGGTAGATTTTATCTACCATGTCCATCATTTCAATTGACTGCGTAACTGGGCTATATCATAACTTCCATGTATGTCCATTTTATAACACCACTATTTCATTGTTTTCCCATTATGTCCATCACTTCATAAAACTAAATGTGATAGAAAATGGCACCAAATTTTACTTGTAACTCACATGTAAAAACTGTACTCCATTGACATTGTAATCTCCATTCATACGTAACATAATTGTACCTCAGGGTTGGTCACGGTCATTGGTCACATTCTCCACGTAAGGACGTGAGGTCACGCCCTTACGATACGACGGGGAAGTATATCCAGGGTAGAATATCAGAAGCCCAGCTGGCCCCCTCTCATTAAGCAAATTAAGAAATTGAACACTATCACTGGTCAGTGAGATGCCATTGTCTCTGGGCAATACTCATAGGAGTGACAGCGGGAGGGAGGTCACTAATAGATGAGCAGCCGTCCCACGCTAATCAGGCACACGTGCTGTCCCCTAAATATAGTACTGGACAGGGGATCAAACAATAGCCCCTGATCAGCAGTACACTGGACAAAGGACACTTTGGCCAAGTCATCCCACATATCAAATAACACGTCGAGCAAAGTGCATTTTGGCCAGTAATCTCCATGTCCAGATATAATGATTAGAGGCCTAATTAGGATTAAGGGCAAATGGGGAAAGCGAAGATGGCTGACTCATCACTGACCAGATGCGAAGGGGGGGCCAAAGACAAAGGACCAAGAATGACCAACCCTGGGTATATAACGGGACAGGCAATAGGCCTGGGAAGAGAGGCTGCAGAGAAGGTCGTGACTACGCCTGAAAGTGTAGTTCTGAATAAAGAGTTGTGGACCCGCAGACAGACTTGTGTTGTTCATGCAAGGACATCCAATAGAGAGAAACAGCACGCTCATCCTTAAGTGCGATACTAGACGCACACAAAAAACGAAACAGCATAAAAATCCTGGTTAGAACTGGACCTCTGCATCCAAGACTTGTCGTTAGAGGTGACTTATATGATCGGGTAAGACTCCCAGACTTGTATGTCTCTCACCTTAGATAGATACCATACATCCTGTTTGAGTGGAGCACTGGATTGTCTGGTCCAGACTCGATTATTCAGAGACCAGTGTTCTATGGCTGCAATATTGCTGAGTGCAGCGTCACACAACAATTATACAAAATACAGTAGAACATGGTTATAGCGAACACGGATATAGCGTACAAACGGATATAGCGAACAAATTTGAAAGTCCCGTCAACAGTCCTTTATAATATCATTAAAATTATACGTGAATAACGAACTCGTGAGTAGCGAATTAACGACTATAACGAACTGATTTACTACCCCTAAGACCCAATTAACGACGTGATTAGCGAACTCACTCAGTGTCAGCTCAGTCACTTAGCGGTACAGTATACATCAATCTTGTTGGCAGTGAATCAACATTGTTTGATGGTCATTAATTAATTAACAAAACAAACATATCGTGTTTAACCCATTCAACACCGCAGGCCGAATAATCGGCCACAACGTTATGAAAAACGAAAGTTTTCGTTGACGAGGACGGTATCCATTGCCGTAGTATGATTGGCTGCCTTAGGTCACGTGTCTGATTTTGACCAATCACGATCCTTATAGCAGACTGTGGAGAAAAAGCGTCGTTAGAAACCAATCTTTATCCAATATATTCTCCCGACAAATCCGCATTTCTCAAGCTACAAAAACGTTTTCACTGTACAGAGAGACAGACAGATGTTATTGACACATGCCACAAACGCCTTTGGTCATACATGGAAACATTTTACAATTGTCAGTTATAAGATGGTGAGGATTCACACCTAGATAATTCTTTACCTGTTGTTTCTCACCCGTAATTATTTAAAAGTAGACATTGTTTTTTTTCACTAGAAAAAATTATATACTGAATAGTGTTTATAATATTATGGCTTGATATAACGTGATTTATATAGGAATAAGCTGGGCATTTAATGCGGAAATGGAATTTGTATTCTAGATCATTTTCATCAACTTTTCATTACATCTTCTTGCTTCCCGTGGGATTCTACCACTATCATGTCTACTAGTTTCAATAAATATTGAATGGGATGACATTCTTGTTTGTTTGCATAATTTGAAATACTATTTGGATACGATTCATAACCAAAATTATCCTTGTAGTAGTTCAGTTTCTTAATTAAAGATTTCAGTGTGTGATATATTTACCAAGTAATCGATACAAGGAAGGGTTTTCCAGGTTCGCATGGGTTATCTTACACTGTTATTCCTGGAAGTATTGTCGCTAACTTGTTGAAATATTGAAAATATTTACTTCGTGAATCATCAGAATTACCTTTTTTGCAGATCCTCTCTCAAAGCATTGACGATCCTTCTTTGATCCCAACCAGAAATCACAGTGGTTACAGCTTATTTCAACATTGGTTCCTTCGCCAAAGGAAGTAGTGCTAACATGTTTACGCCGGGCAAATATATGCATTGGATGATAGTGTTTGGCAACATAAACAATAACCTTGTAGCATATACTGATTCGAAGGATGTGTACGATCTCTTCATGAACCTGAGACGCAGATTTCCCAGCAATATGACGAAAGTGTTCCTGATAGACAGATACAACCTCTGGTCCTTCTCTTTGGCAAAAGAGATCCGTAGTATCTACAAGCAGCCGAACTATCCAAGGCATCAACCGAACACCGTCAACGAGAACTACTCATGTGCAATGCATGCTAAGTTTGAATTGGTCAACAAAGTCTTAGCGGAGAAGCTGTTTCCAACAAAATATTTCTGCTGGCTAGATATTGGACTCTTCCGGGCTGTTGCTGATGACAAGAAGACCTTCAAGCTCCAGATTCCCAAAGAATGGGATCAACGGAAAGTAGCCTATAGTGCAGTATCCCGCTTTAACAAACAGACGACAATCGTAAATGTTATTAAACACAATATGGTGTGGGTTGGAGGCGCAATGTTTTTAGGAACACCTGAAGTGCTTCATAACTACACGGAAGACTACATGAATATGGTCAAGATGCTGTTAAATCAACGCTTGATGAATACGGATCAGCAGGTTATATATTCCATGTTCCTACCATCCTCACAGGTTAAACCCAGAGTTCAGATACAACTATTCTCCCGCGAGCACAATCCTTATGATTATTGGTTCTACCTTGGGTACCTGTGCAGGGAGACATGGTTAAAAACCCAAACTCCTGTGAATAAAACAGCCTAATAAACGTCATCCTTTAGCCATGGTTCTGTCACTTGGTCCCCTAAACACTTACTGATTACAGAAAACTACAGTTTAAACTATTTTGATTTTTTAGAAATTATTATCAAATCATATCAAAGGTATTGGTTCAGCCACATAGAGACGCGAACAAGCTTCTTTGAGTGACATTTTAAAAGTTGGGAAGTAAACTATTGACAAACACGATGAATAACAACTTGTCTATTTCGTAAGTGCAACGTGTAGACTTTGTACCGTTCCCAAGCAGGTATGTAACATAAGGGGAAGGGGACGTATATGTACTGAATGGAGAAAAGAAAAAAACATATTTAACATAATTGGCTAAACAGGCTTTAGGACAAAATTGGAATTCTGAACTCATCCATTATCTTATGATGTACACCACACACAGAGAAGTGCCACACTTGGGGGCGCGGTGGGCGAGCTGGCTAAGGCGCCAGGTTAGTGATCCAGTGAGTCTGAGGTGTCGAGATCGAGCTCACCTGTGACCGGGTGTAAACTTTGTGTGCAGACCCTTTCAGTGTTGTCACAACCCCTAGTGTACAGTACACAACCCTGTGCACTTAAAAAAACCCACGAATATGTTGTTAAATGACCAGATGGTGGCCACATGAAAACGTGCAAAAACCTAGTTCCGGGTTCAGCAACGTGCAGTAAACTTCGACTAAGTACTGTGACTTAACAGCTTAATATCAGTCACATAAAAGCTACCCTAAGAGGTTCAAGAGGCGGCAGAAACAGAAGTACAAATGGTTGCGTTACCCTAAATCAACATTGTGGCGAGTTTGTCAATGTTCCAAAATACTTTGTGCCCCATAACTCCAAATTAACTTGTTTAATGCTCAACCTGTGAGGAACAAACCTCTCATTCTCAATGACTATATAGGGGACAACAACTCTGATGTATTTGCTATCACAGAGACGTGGCTGACTGATAATGATACATCAGTTATAGAAGAATAAGTACCAGCGAACTATGACATACTGCAAGTAAACAGATCACACCGAAGAGGTGAGGGAGTGGCATTAATCTACAAACAATCTATTCCTGTCAGGCGCAGTAACTCTGCAACATTCAAGTCATTTCTTGGACCACAGTGTTCTCCTGCATCGGCTACAGACAAGACTCGGCATCACAGGAACAGCTCTGGTGTGGATACGCTCGTATATCTACAACCCTCCCCAATCTGTCCAGATCGGTGATGTGTCCTCAACACACGCACAAAGGGTGTAGGGCGTTCCTCAAGGTTCGGTTCTTGGACCCAAGCTTTTCAGCCTCTACATTCTGCCTATTGGAGACACTGTCAGGAGCCATGGACTAAACTAAACTCTCCATTGATCAACAGCATGACATGTGTCAGCCAAGTCAGCGAACCTGACCACCCGATCCTGTTAGACGCCTTTTACAACAAGCATGGGTTACTGAAGATCAATTCTAACCCTGATTTTCCTTGTGCTTGACAATGAACTTACACACAGTGATCAAACTGTAAGATGCTACAAAGCGTCGCCTGGAATAAACACTGGATAGCTATCATGAATCACAGGCTGGTGTCAAACTAGTAATAGACAAATTTCTTACATAAGTATCAATTGACAAAATGACATTGTACTTGATGAAAATGTGTTGATATAATTTTTGCCTAGTTGTAGCGGATGTCGGGAAACGACTTTCATAATTTTACAAATATAGAACAAATATGATAAGGCTTATCCCTTTTAAAACATATATTATTAAAAGTCTGTACTCCGAGCTTTTATTTGATATATAACATGAAACAATTGAGTAGATTACAAAAAGGTTTGCATTGCCATCTAAGCAAAGATATGACCTAGAGGGTTGAATTTGACCTTGTTCTACCATTGAGATTTTCCTAGACTTTTTATGTGTTATAAAGAAATGGATCAGGGTCTTAAAACAGTTGAATACTTTATGTTGCAATTTGTGGTGGGTTTGGTCAGAATCTTACCAGGAGGACTGGACTAGCAGCCAATACTACTTTTTTGTGGTTTATCAACCAGTCTGCAATGGCCTTTATATGTATGAAGCTTGCTTTACAACATTACAATAACCTAAGTAAATTATTATGTAATTTACCATTATCTTCTATTCACTAGTGTACGATGCTCTCTATTACAGAACTGATATTATTCAGATATTATTTTCTACAAAGTTACTAACGGCGTTAGTATCTACGCTGAAACGTCGCACTCATCGCAATAAAGAAGTTGACAATCCATAGAACTTGGTTTTCCTTCATCTTTACAACTTCGAAAATGCTTCTCAAAGAACTTGTCATATGAAGTGAAAACATCATGGACGTTTCAAACATGTTTTACACATTGCTAGGATTTCGTTCAGAGCGACAAAACTCCTTTCCACAATCACACAAATAGGACATTGACTCAAACAATCGATTGTGCAATTTCAACACAGTTTCACCTGTACTACAGCGGGGTTCACTTAGTTCTCAATGTCCTTATATCAAGAGGAGTGACGATAAAGGTTCCTTTAGCACATATGCATGCTGATGGTAGAAGGGCTAATGGTGCCAGTTGATCGCAACTTTGTATGCTAAACCTATTTCAACTTTTGATCTTTAACTCATCCATCGAAAGTATGTCGGTAGGTTTGGTTTATCGCCGCATCCAGCATTAATCTAGCTGTAGTGAGTGAGTGAGTGAGTTATTATTTAACGTCACATCGGCAATATTTCAGCCATATCGTAACGAGAATACTTGACATTGAAATAGAATATATAGAGAGATTATAAAACCTGCCGACAAAGGACAGTAAAGCAACTAGAGTATCACAGATATATATGTAAAACTAGTAATTGAATCTAAAAAGTTAAACTATACAAGACGATACAATATAAAAAACAGGCTATTGATCGCCAACAACTGAAGGTAGATCACCATACTAGGGACCATGGGGACTATACAGTACATTTGCTTCCTGCATGGACCCTAGCTGGATTTACACCATCCCTTCAGCCGTTAGCAATTTAGCAAATCTAGCCATACATTAAAAGAACAGGTATTCTACGATTAAAAAAGTGGAATGTGTTAATTTACTTGGAATGTTTTGGGACTTACATACCCTCTCAGGAGGCCAATAATGTTACAGTACTTTAACCCCCTCGAGGATACAGCCACTAACAATCTTAGTTACTAATTCAAACTTCCAATCTTAAAATAGTTATGTATTTACAAATCATTTAACAAATCTAATTCTTTTAAAAAGGCAATAATTAAATGAAAACTGATACTATTAAAAAGATCCTTCATAGTTCGTGATTTAAAATATTTATCCCTTGTGATGGAATACTCAACACAGTCAAGCAAGACATTCTTTCATCACAGGGATACAAAATGGAGGATCCTCACCTTTCAATAGGTATTTATGAGTATATGTGTGGCCAATACGACATCGTCGTATGATGACCTCTTCAAATCTGGACTGACAACCCAAGTAAGTATAACCAATATAGGGTTTTATTTCATGTAATTTATTGATACCTACCTGGGTGTCCCACTTCTTCTGCATCAGATCACGGATGTAAGTTCTAATGCAAGCTTTGTAATCAGAGTAAGGAATAAGAAGTGGTGCCTTGGCAGCAAGATCGGCCATTGTATTCCCAGAAATGCCAACGTGGCTGGGTAACCAACAGAAGACGATGTCGCATTGACCAGTAGCAAGATCATTACATTCAATTAAAAGTGGATGTTTGCAAGAGAGATTTTTAATAGCCTGAAGGCAAGAAAGAGAGTCAGAAAATATTATATATTGTTTATGTTTGGGATGTCTTTGAATATATTTAAGAGCTGTTAAGATGGCGTTTGCTTCTGCTGTAAATATAGAGCTGTTATCAGGTATTCTAGAAGATATTGTTCTGGATCCAATGACAGTGGCACATGCCACTGCGCCACCGTCCTTGGACCCATCTGTAAATAACGATTTGTATGTAGTATATTTCAGTTTTAATTGATTATATTCTTGTTTATACTGTAATTCATTAGTTTCAGATTTTTTAAACTTTGTCAGAGTTAGGTCAACTTCAGGCCTCACCAGTTGCCACGGAGGAGAAGAAAGAAGACGGGAAGGAGATATATTCTCCAACTCAATGCCGGCAGCAGAAATAAATGGTTTAATTCTTAAACAAAGAGGCGGAACAAGAGAAGGCCTTTTGTTGTACAACTCCTCATAAGAAGGATTGAAAACTAAGTAAAATGCAGGATTAGACTCGTTAGAATAGAGTTTTGTTATATACTGTAAAGATAGTTTGATACGACGGTGGGTAAGGGATGGTTCATCAGCCTCAACATAGAGACTATCAATAGGAGAGGTTCTAAAAGACCCAAGACAAAGTCTTAGGCCTTGGTGGTGGACAGAATCAAGTAGTTTTAGGTTGCTTTTGCAGGCTCCACCATATACGATGGAGCCATAATCAAGCTTAGAGCGGACAAGTGATCTGTAAAGGTGTAGGAGCGTAGCATGATCCCCTCCCCACCTTGAATTAGACACGACTTTCAATAAATCGAGTGCCTTCAGGCATTTAGTTTTTAGAGATTCGATATGCGGAAGAAAAGTTAAATGGGAGTCGAAAATGAGACCAAAGAACTTGGCCTCTTTTACAACCTTGATGGGAGTTCCATTTAAAGTAGTGAGTGAGCGAGTGAGTGAGTGAGTGAGTTTAGTTTAACGCCGCACTCAGCAATATTCCAGCTATATGGCGGCGGTCTGTAAATCATCGAGTCTGGACATGAGCATCGATCTGCACAATTGGGAACCAATGACATGTGTCAACCAAGTCAGCGAGCCTGACCACCCGTTTTCGTTAGTCGCCTCTTACGACAAGCATAGTCGCCTTTTGTGGCAAGCATGGGTTGCTGAAGACCTATTCTACCCCGGATCTTCACGGGTCTAATCCAGCTGTATGGCGGCGGACTGTTAATAGTCAGCGAGCCTGCCAACCCGATTCCGTTAGTTGACAGTTAACTGTGATTTTTTAAGCGGTATGAAACTTCATTTTTAAATGATTCCATTTAAAACGTTAATACGAAATATCTGCATGTGTTTGGATCAAATATCTTAAGATGCGTCGTACTAAATGACAATATCTATAGTCCGTTTGGCTCAAAAGCGGACCGATGAATTGCAATCTAACTCGAAAACTATTACACATATAATACCCAATGAAACGCCGATCATAATTAAATCGTCAGACCAACTCTGGAGGGAGGAGTGCAGAGAAAGGGACAGCCAGGTGTGCGAGAAAGGATGGAGACGGCACAGCACAGGTTAATGGATCAATAACTAGGTGGGCACTTGTGCACGTGCTTCTCTAACACCTGGCTGTCCATTTCTCTGCACTCCTCCCTCGTAACAAATAGTGAACTGTGTCAAAATGTTAATGATAGTTTGTTAAACAACTTTTTTAATTTTAGGACATAAATTCTGCAAACAAACCACAGAGTTGGTCTGATGTTTTGATTATGATCAGCGTTTCATTGAGTATTATATGTTTATTAGTTTTTGAGTTACATTGCAATTCATCGGTCCGCTTTTGATCAAAACGGACTATAGGCACGTGTATGATTTTTGTCTTTATTTATTTTCTGAACTGTAGGTAAGTGGCCCATAGTACAAGTACAAAACAGTTACAATGGGTGTGTGGTACAAGCGCGTTTGCGTTTTAACAATGCATCGTGTATAAACGTAGCAATATTCTGAAGTAGCTGCACATTTTCTGTTGACATTAGTATGCTGAATTTGTAAAATGTGGGACAGGACGTGTACTTAGATGGTCTATAATACTTTCTTAGGTCTTCATACTGTGGACAGATGAGAAGGACATGGTATTCATCTTCAGTAATATCCTTGTCACACATTTTGCAGGATTGGCTCTCAGTAACATGACATATTCCTTTAAAATACATTAAATCCTAGTAGCCACATCGAAACTGCGATAACGATACTCTTAATTTCCTTATACTTACGTCTGTTAAATACTTTTCACACATAAAATGTTGTTTAAACAATGAATACAAATAAGAACATTTTCCAGTTTGAATATTTCTGGTCCACTCTTGCTGGAAGCAATCCTTACATCGTTGTTGAACAATGGATAGAAAAGCTGTAGCATCCTCAACTCCCTGACTGACCCATGCATATCCAAGACCAAGTTGGAACAATGTCTTTTTGATTAATATAGCCCGGTTGTGCTTATTTCTAGCCTCGCTAGCATTTTCAACCCGATACAGGAGCATCTTATAGGCTTTTAAGGTGAAGCGGTAAGGACGCATTGAGATGACTTTCAACCAATATAAGATAGAACGTTTCAGTGCCAAGATATAGATTGGGTATCTTCCGCATTCACCTAATACAATATCGCTGGATGTTGATCTGCGGATACCCAGAAAACGTTTACAAGCTTGCAATTTTTTCAATGCTTTCAAATCTTTGAACACTCTACACCTCAGAACCATATAATAAAATTGGCAGGATTTTAGTGTCAAAGATTTTAAAATACAGTTCATATGAGAGATTTTTCAAACTTAAACACGCTACGTTGAACGGTTATAAGAGCCTTCTTAGCTTTAAGAGTCAGATTGTTTATATCTGCTGCCAAGTGAGATTTCTAGTAAATAGCATGCCAAGGTATCTATATAATGATGAAACTTTAATTGGAGCAAGTTTGTAGATCCAATTTTCCGTTCTAGAAAGTCTGCCCCCATGTTTAAATACAACAATACTTGTCTTGTTTAAATTTACTTGGAGACTCCATGTTTCGCAGTAATTCTTTAAAATATCAATTTGTTTTTGGAGTCCAATTACAGTATCAGAAAACAGAACAACGTCATCAGCAAATAAAAGAAGAAACAACTCGAGTAGGTCAGGAAATAACTGAACGCCTTTTGTACAAGATTTCATCGACCAATTCATTGATGAAAAATGAAAACAGAAATGGACTAAGAACACAACCTTGCCGTGCCCCTAAAGGACATTCAAATACTTCTGTGTTTACGTTATTCGATGTACGCACACATGCTTTCACGTTATGGTACACAGATCGCAACACTTTATCCATTTTTGACCCTAGTCCGTTCTTTTTGAATAGATACTAGAGCTTCTGTCTGTTGACGGAATCGAACGCTTTAGAAAACTCAATAAAACAAGCATAGAGTTTTCCACCCTTTTTCGAGAGGTATTTACTGATAAGGGTCTGTAGGGTAAAAATATTATCAATGGTAGAGTATCCTGATCGGAAACCAGCTTGTTCCTCTTTAATTTTATTGCAGCACTCGGCCCAGAATACAAGTCTATTGTTTAAAATACTTGCATATAACTTGCCAAATACACTGAGAAGTGATATGGCACGGTAATTTGCAGGCAAGGTTTTTTTCTCCATTTTTATAAAATGGGATAATGATAGCTTTGGACCAGGACAAAGGGAACTCTCCTTTGTCATAAAGAGAATTGAATAAAATTTCCAGAAAAGGTAGGAGAAAATTAGCTGAAGACCTAAAACATTTCGCCAATAAAGTAATTCTCCCCAGACGCTTTATTTGCCTTGAGCTTGGTAATACTGGAGTATATTTCTCCTATACTAATTGGTGAATCAAATATATCATCAGGGGTTTGCAAGTCACATTCACTGAACAAGATGTAATCATCGAGCGATGGATCGTCGCTGGGGTCATTCTGGTTTTCAGCAAACAGGTCCCAAAAGTAGTTAAACCAAGTCTCTGGAGATATATTACTAGTATCCGATGATGAAACCCCACCGGTTAGGTGTTTCAACTTTCGCCAGAACAATTTAGGGTCACCCATTGAATCATTCAATTCAATTAATTGCTTATCGTCCTGGTTGCGCTTGGCCGTCTTACAAGCTGATTTGTATGCATTTCTACTTGTTACATAAGCGGCTAGAGACGCCTCGTCTTTGCGTTTACGAAATATGTTCAAGAAATGACAGCGCTGATGTTTAAAAGATCGACACGCATTGTTAAACCAATTATATACCTTGCTGTGTGACGTAACAACTCGCTTCATACAATCAGCTGACCTCAATAATACGTCAGTAAACATGTTAACCCCTTGTTCAATATCAAATAAAGAAATATACGTTGCATCATTCAAAGAGTCAGATGAGCTTTCGAGCATTGACACATAGATATCTTCGAAATCGTGCTTCCACGTGTACTTGGTAAAGCATGAATCAGAAGTAGCCGTGTTGTTATCAGAAATATTACTCGAACCTTTATTGGTAGGTAATGAGAATATAATTGGCAGGTGTTCAGAATCAGGTTTTGAAAGGATGTCGAAAGATAGTATTTCTCTATAAATGGGTTCTGATCAATGACATAATCAATAACGCTGCAACCATTTTTTTTACTAATAAAAGTAAAATCACCAACACCTTTATCGCTTCCACAGCGGCCATTGAATATGTGCAAATTATGGAGTCTACATAGCTCGATACCAGATACCAGATACCAGAAATATTCCACGTGGAGATATAAGCGTGTTGTCGAGTCTCCATAGAGATTGGGTGTGCGTTTGGACGAGCTCGCCCGTGTCCCTATGGCCTCTTAGGTCTGGGACCGTTCCTATTAAAACGAGCGGTTCGTCTACCGTTATCCTTTTCTCCATGTTGTTGAGTTTCACGTGTGGAAGTTCATTGACGATTACGAGCTTTCCATTCTTGTAATAGCCTCGTTTACCGTTCGCTGATAGGTCACGACGAGTTTCTCTCTGGTTCGGAGAGTGAGATCGTTTGCAATGCCAATGTTCTTTGATCTTAAATCCTCTCTTTTGTTCAGTGCCCATATCTTTGTCTCCGTGTCCCAGAATGAAACAATGATAAGTCTGGGTTTGGAGCTGTTGTCACCACCTAATCGGTGAGATCTTTTTATGTCGCCTGCTTGTATACAGTAATATCTCCATCGCCACACACAGAGCTGAACAACTGAACCACCTTTGATTTACTCCCGCTATAGAATTCACCTCGTCCATCCTCTGGAATGCCAACGAGGATAACATTATCTCTGTGGCTGTAGATCTCTAATATCTCTATTCGTTTGTCAAGCTCCTCAACCTTTGACGAATAAATAGTGTTGATCCTGCAGTTGTTCGTCTAAAGCGTCTAAATCTGGCGTAGAACATGTTGGTCATCATTTAGTTTTACAAGATCATCTTTCAGTCCATTTATGACTGCAGACACTGACTTCAGGTTTTCCTGGACATTGATCACTTCACACTTCAGCTGACTCACGCTTTGTTGTACTTCTTCCTTGACTAATTGTATTTCTCGAGTGAGAACGGATATAATTTCCGACTTAGATTTTTCGAGAGGAACGTTGTCCTTTGGTCCAGGATTGGATTCAACATCACCACAACATAGCAGTGGTTTGCTCCGGATAATGTGAGGTTGCAAAACCTGCACGAGTAAGTCAGAGTGAGGGGACGTAACGGCGTAAGAAGCTGAAACTGACCATGTAACATCGTGACCACCCAGTCCACGTGCAGTTCCCAAACTAAACTCCGAAAATATCGTGTGGTGAATGGATAACAGAAGACACGACACTAGTAGTAAGCTCACCATTCTAAAGTTTAGTTCTGTTGATGTACTCCATGCAGACTCTGGGTCGTAATTGAGTCGCTATCTTGTCTATCTGTCTCCAACCGGGACGGGTGGCATGTCGTCCACTCTCTCTCTCAAGTCTCAATGTCAACCATTTCTTCACAATTTTGTCCATACATTTCAGAAATGTTTTCAAGCATAAGTGGACATGGTAAATCTCTTTTAATGGTTCGAGTCACATGCACCTCGAGGGTGCATATTATCTACACAAACCAATAACGTTGAAACGTAGAGTAATAGAGCGTAATCGTCTGATAAGGGCTTCACGAGTGGTAACAAGTGAGTGACTTTGATTTTAAGCAGCACTCAACAACATTTTAGCTATAAGGCTATAGTCTGTAAATAATTGCGTCTGGACCAGACAATCCAGTGATCGACAGTATGAACATCGATCTATGCAATTGGGATACGATGACATGTGTCAGGCAAGTCAGCGAACCTGACCACCCGATCCCGCTATTCGTCTCTTATCACAAGCATAAATGGCGAGGAAGGCACGGAAGAAAGCTGAACGGTATGTCCGTCGGCATCCAATGGTCGATAGTTCAAATACGTTTAAAATTCAAAGTCCTTTTAAACAGTCTTGGCAAAATTATGTTTCAAAGATATCACTGGTATGGAACATGATCCTGAAACTTAAAGGATAAAGGTTGTAAATCTAGCACACATCTCAAGCACACATTATGTTTCCAAGCATGGGTTACTGAAGACCAATTCTAACCCGGATCTTCACGGGTCATTATGTCAAAAGCCGCACGCACTCGGTCAGAAGGTATATTATAATTCTAAATGTTTTCAGCAGAAAGCACATGGCTTTAGATGCACTTACTGATAAAGCTTTTATTGACATGAGGCTTCTGTTTCTAGTGAATAGAACACCGAAGAACGTGGAATTTCAATCTCGGTATTCTCCAATTTAAACGATAACCTACTGTTTTGAGCGACCCGCTTCCTCAAGATCCAGGCTTTATTTTCTGTCGGGTTCACGTCCAATTACAAACATTGCAATGTTCTGTTTAAATAATCAAATGTAGTTCGCTTGAAGAATTAACAAGGAGGACAGACTCAGCAACAGGCGAGGGAGTTAAGTTACACAATTATATATGCAAATAATTCCAATTACCAATATTAACACTTGTACATCCGTCTTTCTTTAGGCGAAATGTTTCAAGATCATTGATGACGAGACCAAACAACAGAGGTGACAAATATTCACCGCCCTTGTCGTACGCCTCAATAATACTGGATGCGGTACTATTCACATGGGCCTGTATTTGCATGCCTATTTTAGCTAATAATGGCAAGATTGTGCCCTCAGTATGTAACATTATCAAAGACTTTCAAGAAATCCATAACAAGAACAGTATGATTATGCTTACTTTTCAAAGAATTTCTATGAGCATATCCAAGACGAAAATGTTATCTGCTGCCGAGTAACTGCCTCAGTCCAGTTTGAGCTGAAGTTTCTCCAAGAATATTATTTTTGTCTATTCTTTTATATATTTTTTGTCTTTGCTCAAAGATTGTGAAAACAGCTATGTATTGTGTGTTGAATGGTTTGTCCAAGTGAACATAACATTGTTCATATTTAAAGCGGGAATTCCAGACAAGCACTGTCTTTGAATTAGAATGAATTAGTTCAATATGAGTATCTATAATAAAGTGAAGCATGACACGAATAATAGTTTTGTCATTGTACGTCAAGGAAAGTCGATCTGAGAGAGGAGACACACAAACATTTAAAGATAAATCAGATATTTTTCCTTGCTTAAAGCTTCCTTTATCTGCACCAAGATCTTCCGCGGTTCAACGTCCCTTCAGGTGAAAAGATCTTTGTGCAGATAAAGGAGTTTTGACCCAGAAGAAATATCTTGACTTATCTTTTATATATTTCTTTCTTATACGCCTGCAGAAATCACTTGATAGATATAGATAGATATATAAAATCAGTATATTATTATTGTGCGTGTGTGTCTCTCTCTCTCCCTGTGTGTGTGTGTGTGTGTGTGTATATATATATATGCATTGTATATGTGTTTATTACCTATTAATCACCAGCCTTCAATCTAGATTAATCCATTAACTTCCTTCGTGTGTAGTCTCACCAAGGACAACTGGCAAACTAGTGGACGTGAGATACCTGAGGTGAGAGTACAAGGTGTATTTTGTCCTTTCGGGTCTTTGAATGGCATTTAGAGTGATACGCATAATGACGAGAGTTTTATGGATGCAAACTTCTATTTTATGAATTACAATCGTTTAGGAGTATATCCTTACTCCTTTATTCACCTGAGTAAGGATATGCCTTAAACGTGTCGATGCTCCTCATGATAAAGTTGATATCCATAAAACTCTCGCCCGTATCGTTTCCTTTGTTTCCTCGTCTACATGACAACAGTTGTACAAGGACAGTAAGTTGACATTGGGTTTCGTTGGACTTTTCTCTTGATACTCATGTTTTTTATGCTAAGCTTCAGACGCTCAACGAAATATATATTTTGTATGAGAATCCTATAGCTAACCAATTTGCAACATTTATTTTTTTTAGCTAGGCAGTCTTTTCAGTGGTTCAGTAGTCTACATTAGGTATTCTTGGCGCATTTTGGACAATTTCTATTTTCAAGTAAAATCTGTCCTTCAAATTTAGTGGTGCCAATGTTATTTAGAATAAATGTTACACAATGATTGTGTACGGTATGTTTCAGACGTCGGCGAAAACGTGGTATCGATCGGCCAGTGATCGGCTTACTGATGTACGGCTGTTGATAGACGAGGAAACGAAGAGAGCATGCGGTGAGTTTTGTGGATGTCGGCACAACATCATGAGCACGGCGTTGCGGAGCCTGTCGCGCCGAGGTGGTAAAGGAAAGGACGTATGCTCACAAACGTTGACACAAACAAAATAAGTTTGCATCCATAAAGCTCGCGATTGCTTCTGGTAACCCGAAGCTTGAATTAACTGGAGCCAATGATGATGGCCTGCGCCGCCTATATAACGCACGCACACGATGGGAGAAGAGAGAGACGCGCACGGCCTTACTAGCATCTGTATGTCACATCAATACTGCGAGGTATAGAAATAACAAAGATAAGTCGAGATATTTCTTCTTCCCAAAAGAAATAAACTTTGTCTTGCGCGAGACTTAGCGCGAACGAACCGCGGCTGTTATGAATGAGGAGGCTTTGGCGAAAATATCAAGACTATAACAAATGTTTCGTGTCTGCCTAAAACGGCATTACGGTGTTGGAGTAAACGATAATGCTTTCGCTGCTCGCGGTAATTTTAATTCGTTCGGGAGCGGTCAGCGATGAATTTCCGCTTAAATGTGAACGATGTTCGCTTGGACGAAACCGTTCGGCTGTTTTCTGTCTTTGACGAACAACAAAAGAATGAACAATGGCGCTGTTCTGAAACCGTGAACTGAAGGACCCGCTCGGCAGTGGCTGGAGCGGATATTAACAATGAACTTCTTTGAAATGGCAATCATACCTTTCGTTGGACTGGCGAGGATCTTTTGTTAATCTCTATGCTTTGGTACCGGCCTTTTAAAATGAGCATTATACCTTCCGTATTGCTGCATCCGGTATGCGACGGAAACGTTTGATGCTCTGACGTTTGTTCCAACCAGATAAATCGTGATGTTTGACTGAAGAAGCGGATGTACAATGAATGACGGTGGAATTGTTGCGTATATAATTATTGGCAATCACTTCGATCTCTATTATTCAGGCGAACGATACGTGTTTGTATTGAATGACTTGACAGCGAGCGCGGATGAGCGATTAAACCAGCGTGGTCATCAGACGGTGCAGTTGAGGACTGGATTTATTTCGTGTTCTAAGCAGAGAGCAGAGCGCCATGTCAATAAAAGCATCGTGGTCGTATTCTTGCTGAAACGTTGGAGATACTGCTCTGACCGGTGCTGATGTGTTCCGTCTTCGGCTTATGTATGCTTAATGTGTGCTGTCGCTGAAGTTCGGGATCATGTTCCAGCGCAATGACTATCTTTGAAACGCGTAATTTTGCCAGATGTTAAAAGACTTTTGATTTTAAACATTTCGATTTGACTTATCGACCATTGGACACCGACGACCCTTCACCGTTCTTCCGTGCTTATATGAATGAAAGACGAATATGGTCGGAACTACTTTGACTTTACCCACGACTGTCATTGTCGAAGCAGCAGATCGACTGATTACTGTCGTCACTGGCCCCGAACGGTATTACGAATATATTGCTGCTAACTGAAGTAACGGGCAGTGCTGCTTAAATCGAAGTCGCCGCTGATACCGCTCGGTAACCCGTATCAGGCTGACCCGCGCTCTGATACTCTACGTTTCGTGCTTTGATTGTGTTAGCAGTAATATGCGCCATAAATTGCGTGGAACTCGAACCATAAATATCGCTTATGTGACGTTTCGCGAATAATAATGGACAAATGGTTGACGTGAACTGAAGAAGATATTGGACGACACCCGGTTGAATGTTTGAATGGCGACGGTAAATCCCGTAGTGCATCGGCTGGTTTAAACTTTGATGTTGATACTGTCGTTGATCTTCTATTCGCCGCACGTCGAGTTTAGTTTGGGAACTTGCGTGGTTGGAATTGTTCGTGTTCGGTTTCAACCTTACGCCGTTGCATCCTCTTCGACTTACTCGTGCGGGTTTTACTGACTCATATCGAACGGAAACCTGTTGTGTTGAACGATCATTAACGTTC